TTCAATCCGTAATCAGGCACGACATTGGCCATTAAGTCACCCTCGGCCAGGAAGTTACAGCCTGTCTCAAATTTACTGTTTTCGTTACGTGCTAAGTGAGTTCCTAAAACTTACCTCAAGTTAAGCATGTAAATCTTTTGAAAATATCATTAACAGTAATATTATAACTTAAGGATTCTGCTTTAATCAGTTTCAATTATGTAATGTGAACAGAGAGCCTTGTCGAGTTCTTTGAAAAAACTAAAAAAACAATTGTGTAACCTTCTGAACTGAAAAATAAGGTTTTCATGTCGAAAAGCATGATTTCTACAAAGTCTTCAGTTTATAAATATTATGCTCATATCTAGCGTTTCAGGACAGAATGTAATAGTATGGAATACCCTCTTATCAAATTTATTTAGAAAATATAATTTTAAATATAACATAGTGTCATAAACCTTTAGCAAATTTCGTAACTAATTCTATAGCCGTTCTCTTAAGGTGCCATTAATTCGTATTCATGGCAAAACGCTAGATGTAAACATAGCGATACACGTGTATAAGGAAATTAGCAGTTCTGGCGTGGTTAGCATGTGTAGACTGTGAATCCGAAAATTCAAATTTCGCGACCCGTTGACGTAAAAACGCGTTTCACACTTGGTACACATATGTACACTATAAGAACATCTGTCAAATCCCATTATTTGATCAGACAAGAGTATTTCAAAGGTTGACGATGGGTGCTGTTGACAAGTTGCTTTCCCTCTAGTCTGCCATTTCAAAATTAAGGATGATTGTGTAGCTTTGAGCAAAATTCTTAAACAAACAAATATGGAATTAATTTTTTACAAACATTACGGGAAACCTTCACTAAGTCATATGATGACTCTAAACCATTCCTGTTGGTTTTCTGTTTAATTCGAAGTAAAATGAAAGCATAAAGTTACCTTATGTATATCATTTACATGTCTTATTTTAATAAGGCAAAATAAAGAAATATATATAACTCGTGTTAACAATTGGCTTGACGTAATTAAATATATGATCATGATGATAATACCCTTCCGAAATCCTTGTCTAGCTGTTCACTCTTGATTAGATTTTTAACACATCTCAGTTATATTACTTATGATAATATTTATTATTGTTCTAGCTGTTCACTCGTGATTAGATATTTAACACATCTGTTATATTGCTTATGATAGCATTTATTACTGTCTTAATAATAAATTTAGCCATTCACCAGAAACGTACAGTAAATTGTTCTTGTTCTGCTCAAGTAAGCAAAGTTCGCAGGAAACTGTTTTTTTTTTTTGAAAAATTCTATGCTTGGCATCGTTTGTATTTTAACCCTATGAACACCGGTAAGAGAGATTGTCACAAATGGGTGAGCCTTACCTATCTATCTATGACATGATAAAAGGTAAGACACTTATTTGGATTATTCGCTTGTGTTAGAAAAGAGGAAGGGAAAGCAACTTTATAGTTAAGTTGAACATCATTCGAGATTGTATATATTGACCCGGAACGTCAAGCTTTCCATATGACGAAACACGGAAGCTGTACTTAGCATTTTAAAAACAGAAGACGTTAAAATCCAAATACTAGGCTACTTTGAAGTCGGGGTCGGTTCGTAGGAGTGAATAGTGTTGTGTAGACCATCTAATCTGAAGGAGGCCGTTAACCTTGAATGCATCCGCATGTTTAGAAAATATCCGATATGACTGCTTTTAACGAACGAGCTAACAGACTGTACATCAACCACACAGTAGCGGCGTAAGCGTGCACTTAGCCTTTGTTCAATCGTTAATAATATTAAGGCCGTATTTAAAAAGAAAGTTGTTGGTGTTTTGAAATTAAGCACAAAGCTACACAATGGGCTATCTGTGCTCTGCCCACCACGGGTATCGAAACCCGGATTTTAGCGTTGTGAGTCCGCAGACATACCGCTGTGCTACTGGGGGGCATTAAAAAGAAAGGTTATTTAACTTTTGCCTCCCCCAATAATTACTAAAATACGGGTAAGGCCAACATTTTCCGTTGCCAATGTGTGTTGCCTGTAAAAAAGACATTGCGCCAAAACCCAAGTTCATCCAAACAACGTTAAGTAATTGACTAAATCCCACTAAAATTATAAATTATTTAACCTTCTGCCCCCCCCCCCCATAATGACCAAAAATTGATATATCCCACATTTTTGTATGTATAGGTATGGGTCCTGTACAGTTTCTTTGTACCAAATCCCATGTAAATTGGCCGAAGTACGGCAGAGTAATTGTCCAAAAACAACAACAACTAAAATTATGCTTCTTGTGGCATCTTGACCCTTCAATAATTACTAACAATTGGCAAGTTCACCATTTTTGTTTGTCAATGTGTGGGACTTGTAGAAAAGTATCTTTGTACCAAATCCCATATAAATTGGTCAAAATACGACCGACTAACTGACCAAAACCCCCAAAATTATGCTGTTTTGTGAGTTCTGCCCCCCCCCCTAAAAAGACTCAAAACTGGCAAATCCAACTTTTTTGCCAGTAATTGTGTTGGGCGCATGAAAATTTGTATTTGTGCCAATTTTTTAAATTGACTGTTGTAAATATGACTGCACAGGAGCTCAAATATACATTTTTGGGTTGTTTCATCTTTGAGCTCATAAAATCCTTAAAAAGGCCTAAATCATAAAACTGAAAAACATGTCTGGGCGTATTGGACCAAGATATAACCCTACCAATTTTCAAGTCAATCCGCCGAGAAATGATGGTCGATTGAAAAGTGTTTGGAAGAAGGAAAGAAAGAAGAAGAAAAAACGAATGTTTTCTAATTATATAATTTCAGCGCACTTCTTGCTGAGAAAGTTTTCAAACTTCTGTTGTTAACCTACATCTAACAACAGGATAAGCGTAAACGTTCTCTAAAATTATACAAAATAAAAGTCTACAGAATAGCTAGTCATCAGTTATAAAAAGGCCGATTACTTTAGATTTCCTTCGGATAACAGATTATCTCATTTTCGTGTTATATTGTATAAAATATATAACATCTACAGAACCAGTAACAAATCAAATCAAATATAATAATATTCATTTTGCTATTCAAACTTGCAAGAAATAAGAAAGCACTCTGAGTAAATATTAATGGCATCTTTCTTGCTTTGTATCTCTGTGTTATATAGACATATTACTCACTTCATAAATATTAGGGATGCACTTGACCTTGTAGATTTTTAACAAACGGGCTAATAGGGTTCGAATCCGTGAGATACTATAAAATATTTCACGCGCTTATAAGCCGTGTATGCGTTATAAGAGTGACAGTCAATCTATTAGAGTGAATAAGGCACTGCAGACTGGCTGCTTTCCTTTTTTCAGTAGTCCAAGATTAGGGACGTTAACCGATAGCCTTAGTAGCTTTGCTATAAATACAAACACAAGTATTATAACAAGTAATTGAATATCAACTACTATGCACTATTAACATGGGACTAAATAAGCTCAATCAATTGATGATACATACTTTAAAATTCATATTTATTTTTCACTCTTATTTTAAATCACCAACCCTCGTTTTAGTTGAACTATTTGCAACGAATAACCAGCAGAGACAGTTGTAAAAAACGTCTATATCGAAAAGTTGCAGCTAAAAATGACCATTTTCACGTATAAATATGTGAACTTTGTACAATTATTCCAGAACTTGAAAGAACGAATGAAACAATGTGCTTGAACTGACGAAAAACGACTGAGCTTTATGAAAAATTCTAAGAGTTTTTTTTGTGGGAAGACATACCCTTGAAAGGTTTAACCAAAGTACTAAGCAAAATAGTGAAATTATTGGTGAGTTCATAACAGCCTACTGAGGGTTTATGCTACAGGGATAAGAAATACTATCAGAATCGATGGTCTTATAAATAAGAAGCTATATCACAGCAAATCTAATGTTGGTAAATCTATAACAATGCAGGGAGGTTTTCTGCTACAAGCTGTTGTCCTAACTCTCCCGTGGAACATAGCATGATCATTTTGAAGTAACCCCAGATAACTCAATGGTCAGCTTGAAGGAATTGTAACACTAACATTTGGGGTTTGATCCCTTTGGCAGACACACTCCAGCTTTGAGCTCAGCAGACGTGTGTTTTGGAATATTGCCGTGGGATCGGTAAACAACATTTATCTTCAGTAGCATAATAATAAGCCAAACCACATTGCTCTGCTGAATTATTGGGAAAAGGAAGAACTGGTGATGTCAAAATTGTGAAACGATCAGTCCAAAGTCTCCCAGTGTTAAATCTATTAAAAATTTGTGGCAAAAGATGAACAATGTGGCAAAAATTTAAAAATATACAATGGAATTCATGCCTGATCAACATAGTCATACAGTTAAGGCTAGAGGAGGAAATACTAAATATAGGTTGTTTAATTTTATATCTTAGAAAAGTGAACGGATGCATAACATTACAATATTAGTTGCCCTTCTCGACGAAAAATAAAATGGTATAACAAATTTCAAAACTGGTAATCTAAAAAAATGTTGTTGTTGTTTTCATAAATGAGAACATTTTTATTAGATATAGGAAACAAAAAAAAAGATAAAAATCTATCTTTCCAAGAATCTTGAAATAAAATCTAGTTTTATGGAAAAAAAGAATTTCAATATCAAAAACAAAATAAAAAACATTGAACACGATGTCGGTAATATACACAGAAACTTGTCTGATATCTGAATTTTCAAAGATGCATTTTGGAAGCAGATTATAATACTAATCTTAAAAAAAAATGAATATATATATATATATATACATAGGGACATAAAAGGTGAAGAAAAAGTACACAAGATAAAGAAAATGAAAGCTGGTGATTCTAATTGGACCTAACAAGTTAAGATATGCAAAGCAGGGATGGAATTCACACGTATGTTATTGGATTTCTGATGATACCATAAAATGTATTCAAATTTCATCCTTATGCTACTTTGTATCACTAAGTACATAACATCTTTAGAAATAAACAAATTTTAAACTTAAAAAATAACAAAAAATTATTTTTATTAATGAAACAAAGAGGTTATTTAATCTTCAATGACAATCACTGGATCAATATTTTTTTTATTACATTTACTTGCACAAGTCACTGGAATACATACAACTTTATACACACACCTTTTGTAGAATATTTTTTCTGTTCATTTTGATTGGCAGTTTTACTGTAACCTAATATAGTAAAATATTCACTGATTTTATTAGTTATTTTCTTCCTTGTTTGACTCACCTAAAAACTCTTCACAGACAAAACCTAAAAACAAAGAACACAGAATGAGAAAACTATATCTACTTAAAAAATGTCATTGTAGTCATCATTCTGATTGTATATAAAATTGAAATGACAGTTATTTATACAAACTGAATGAGTTTGCATTTCTAGAAATAAAATTTGGGAAAAGTATGAGTTATAAAAAATAAATATAATAAGTGAAATTGTTATTTTTCTTAAATATTTAATTTCTTTCTATGATTTTATAGTTCGAAACTCAGAAAGTTAATTTTAAATTTTCTTTACATCTAAATGATAAAGAATTTTGTGGCAGTCAGAGCTTAAAAGGAAGTAGAAAAAGTTCTCTAAAAATTTATACATGAGCAGTGTAAAGTAACAATGTACAGAGGATTAATAACACTTTATAAGAACAATTTGGATATGCAGATGGAGATGTGGCACCACAAGTGACATGTTTAGTATCTGTATATATCTGGTTCACAGAAAATTTCCAACCATTCAACAATGCAGCTCCACTGTGGATAGACTTATAGTTACAGTAATATAAATAAAGCCTTTCTGAAGAGATAAATTCATACAGCTAGACTGTCAAACAATACAAAGCTAAAGAACACAACCTTCTGACAAAGGGAGTCTTCAACACTGTATGAAAGTGAAAACCTTGCACAGCACAGTATCTAGAACCACATCTTCAAAATTACATCCTAAGCCAATAAAAACAATCTCATACATAAAGTGAAGGCTCTGGTTGCAAAAGCAAATCCTCTAACACTTAAAGCAAATGCACTGAAACTGAACATATTTCTTGGTACCATTAACAAGATAATATGCAAGGATTTGAATCTAATGAAGACTCACAAGTCTATAGTCGCACTTCAATATCAGCATCTGCTTTCTAAGAGAAAACGTATTCAAGAAAGCTGAAATCACAGCAATCTTATTTGGTCATGTGTCTACAAAATACCTCAATGCTGTTCCAATGGACTTTTAAGCTTTTGCTTAAATGTAGAGGGTCTGTTAAAAATTTGTCAAGATGTGTGGTTTAAGACCAACTTCTCTATTTTTAACAGAAACTTACCACAGTGAAAATTGTGGTGCTGTACAATAATGCATAATCACGGTCATCAGAATAAGTATGTTCAATAATGAAGTAGTTACATGCACTGAACAAGACCTCGATTATTGTCCTTATAAAGCATGATTAACCCTCCATAAATATATGTAATAACAACCATTTTTCTGTTCTTCAGATGAAGTGTTGCAAATAATCGACTTTTTCACAAAATCCTTTAAGATTGAATCGGCCTCTGCAAGTTTGTACACAACTCTTGATTCAGCTCTACAGTTTTCTCTTTTTTTTGTTATGAACTTTTCAACTGAATAAACACAGTCTCCCTAGGAAAGAGTCCAATGTCTTTCAATGTTTGGCTTGGTTTGAGGTCACTGAGATTACGACGTGGAAAGTTTGTCACCAGTTCATAGTGGTCTTTTGGAAATCCTTGAGCAGCCACATACAACACAAGTGCCTATAACAGAATAGATAAATTAAACAAGATTACAAGAAAAACATACACATATTAGTTAGTATAAAAGTACCAAAAATTTTCTTAATGTAAAACATCAATCACTGCAAAAATTAGAAAATAAAAATAATCTCAAAATTAAGGTTACAAAAACATATTTATTAACCCATTAACTGCGGATGACGGATATTTCCGTCACTGAAGTTCTATGGCTCAGCTGAGAATGATGGAAATATCCGTCAGTCGCACATATATAACTATAACTCTATGCAAATGACAATAATTACCGTTTTATTGTGATTGGTGGCAACTCAATTTTATCTGTGAGTCAGAAAACAGCAACTAAGCTGCTCCTGCAGCAGTTAATGGGTTAAGCATATGAAATGTTTTGAAAATGTAATATTCGTGAGATGATTTTAAATTAAAATTGAGTTAAAAGACCATATGAAGAAAAGAACATGAATTAGTCTTGTACATTCTGCAAAACAGAAGAATACAATGGATATTATATTTAGAATTAAGCAATGTACACTACACAGCAGTATCAGTATTAAAAGGTCAATACAAAATATTTGATTATTCACAAAACACAGATATATTTGATAAATAAAATTTATGAAGTTGAACAACTGATTTGTATTGTATATTTTCATATACAATTAAATATATAAGACAAAAAGTCACATCTGAATACAATTGCTAATTCATTTAATATGGCATTTTATTAATAATTAGGTTCTATGGTATAATGTTAGAGAAAAATACCAGTACACCCATTTCACGTGAAAATTATTCATTTTCTTTAAAAAATGTTGGCTAGTTCAAAACAAGTAAAGCTTGAAGTAATTTGTAACCTTGGTCAATGCTGTCATGCTGTTTCTAATTTAGCACGTTTTACTAAAATTTATTTATCACGTAATCCTTTCCTGTTACATCACTTTTAGCTCAAACAATAAGTCACTGCAAAATTTATCACAAAAATGTTTTAGGAGTTTTGATTCCAAATAAAACAGAAAATAACCACAACAAAACTTGTGGTTTTATATGTTGAAACCATTCACTGACAAACACCCATCACCAAAATAAACAGAAAAAAAAAGTATAAAATATCTTGAAATTAATATTAAATTCCAATAAGATCAAGCTATGCTCTTAAGAGTTAAACTAAAAACTGTGTAAGGGTTCCCCCAGTACACATATAACTTCAGATTCCACAGCCAGAAATTGGTTGATGCTAGGTACAGTAAATGAGGTGGCCATAAGTGATGTGAAATTATTCTGCTTGAAAGTGATCCAACAAGAAATGTTTCACATGGTTACCAATATGTGGAGAACCCCCACCCTGGTTGAAAACCACAGTGTTTGTCACATTTTCTTGTCACAGCATGGGAATCACATTAGTTGTGACCATTGCATGGTACCTTGTAGCACTGGCTAGTCCATATGCCGACAGTTCTTCAAAAAACTACAATTCAATAACAAATTCAGTTGTGAAACTACACCACCCTGTCAGCTAAGCATCATAAAGGTATATAGTAAATGTTATATGTGGATTAGCTTACAACCAGATAATGCAGTTGCATATGTTGACACTTTCAGAAAGGAGGAGGTGTGCTTAATCAGTCTACAAAATATTGGCAGGCTACTGACCACAGACTTTCAGTTTTGCCAAGAACTGCAATGTAAAACCAAGATGTTGGGTTAAATAAGTCTCTTTTAGTGCTTGAACATTATGCAGCTTGTAAGGAAACATTCACAAAATAGTGAATAGCTTTTACCACTACTTTATATTTTATTTTGCATTTTATCGCAAGTGCTATCTGTCTCCTCAGATTTGTTCGTGAAACTGCAGAAAGCAATACTTGAACAAGGCCCTGTGGATCTTATGCACTCTATGGTATTCCTCAAGCTGCCTTGGCATTGCATTCTTTGATGTAATAACATTTCACTAGTTCATCTCTCTGCACACTTGTCATTTTCATGTTGGTTGAATGAGCTGCTCCGTGATCAATAGCACCATTTATACCAATGGGAAATATACAGAAGATACCATAGTGGTGCCGTGGTGGTAACACAGCAACTATGGTATTTGCATCTGCATGAAACCAACAACACCTCTGTGCAATTTTACCTTCCCATGTCATACTGTCTGTAAGAGATGATGTTCTAAACTGGAAAACATTCTTTATAATCAACCTGTATATATATATTGTCTATGTATAGTGAACTATTACTTTGAACAACAGTTATAAAGCAGTTCACAGGGGGTATATATTCATTGTGAAACCTCTCAAAGAACAAATTTCTTACCTGCAACTGAGAAGAAGATGGGAAATTTTTTTGCTGTCGTTCTCCATTTGGAAATCGTAATATTAACTCAGTTTGATCTGAAACATATAAAAAATATATCCTAGTCCATTTTAATAAAAAAATTTGTTTTCTTCAATAAAAGAAACATTAAAACTATATATATATTATATAATACTGCTAAAGTTTCTGAAGCAAAAAAACAAAGGAAAGCAATCAAAGTATAAAACATTATCATTTTTTACTTGTTTTTTATTTGTATTCTCTGAAACTAATATTCTGTAAACTGAAACTTCTTTAAAGAAGCACATTAAAACTATATATGATATGTTATATAATACTGATAAAGGTTCTGAAGCAAAAAGTCAAGAGAAAAAACAAAGGAGAGCAATTAAAGTATAATACAGTTATCATTTCTTACTTGTTTTTATATTTGTAGTCTATCAAAATAGTATTCTGTATACCATGTGAAGTTACAAAAAGCTTTAACGGTAATTATATTTCCATAATTCTAATAATTATTACCATCACTACTACCCAAGTAGATCTTCCACTGTTCTGCTGGGTTGTCCGCATCACTAATATCATCTTCATCCATTTTCTTTTTAATTTTATGATTTGTGTCTTCTTTATCTACCTTTATGAGATTTGCACACAAAAACGTCTTTACACCATTTGAATCCTGCATCTCATCCTTCTGAAGTATATTAGTACAAGATGTGGAGCTTTCAGAATCAGATTCAAAAGTCTCTATATCACTTTCTTCATCCCTTTCTGAGGCACTGCCATGTTCAGCAGCAGTTGAAGCAGCTTCTGCAGAATCTTCTAGTGAAGCTTGAATTGCTGCTTTGATCTGGGACTCTTCACTTTGATCAAGTATACTATCCTGATATACGGCCATGAAAAAAATATATAAATTTGATACCATAAGAAAATCATTTCCTAAAAAACTAGCAATCAATTTAATAAAATATATTATACTCTAAAAATCTTTTTGACACTGCTATAAACAAAACAGATGTTTCAATCTCAACTTAAATGCTGTGTAAACATCACTTGATAAAGGGACTTAGACTTGAAACGTTTTTATTGTATGTTATTTCTTTCTTCAGTTTTTTGTTTTAAACACATATTTTCCATCAATTTTCTGAACATGTAAAAGTCCCACAGGCTCAGGAATACTCTTATATATATATATACTCTTTTCTTAAATAAAATCAAAGTGGCTAAACAATTTCTACAAAGCATAGTGTGAAATATGTTTCTTAACTTATTGAAAGCTATGTAATTTGTACTCATCCTTAATTCAGACTAGACAGAACTGCTTTTCTGTATATAGTATAAAGAATCACTAAAATGTAACTCTGAAAAGTATATATCTATTCTAGAGTTGAATGTGTACCATTAAAACATCCATAAGTGGGCATGCATGTAATGTTGTCCATGTATAAACATACCAGAGAAAAACCTGCACTTTATGAAACTTCAGCTTAGAACATGTGAGTGAGAAATTCTTACACTTACTGTTCTAGATCTTTTTCTTGGTGGGCTTGGAGTGGAACCATCTGGTGAAGGATGTTTACACAAAAATTCAGTCACTAGAAACATACATAATAAAATTAGGCACTGAAAGAAAGAAGTTATGACTTTGAAATATGTTCACTTACATAGTATACCAAGTATAAACATTTAAAATAAAATACAGGTATACCTGCTATAATGTGCAGAATGCATTCCTAAAAAATGGAGGTTATACAAAGGCACATTATAATATGTTGGTTTTCCCATATGAACAATGTTATAAGTCAGGAATGCATTCTGGCAAAATTATTTTTTCCCTTAAAGTCTATTTTATTAATGGTATTTTTTACAACAAACTGTCAGAAGTCTCAAATCAGAGAAACTTGTTTCGACACATTCACGTGTCCTCTTCAGTTTCACATTGTCTTCTGGCAGGAAACAACTGGTCAGCAAATGCTTGTGTGACTGTTCTTGGAATTACCTTAAGGACACAGGAGGTCTGGAAGTCATTTAGCTTAAAGTGACCTTGGGAGGTGTTGAAGTTGGACAGGCTTTTGATTAAACAACTTTCAACAATCTTTATTTTTATGTAGTTATCTGTTTCGTAAAACATTCTTGTCGATTTCCTATCAATTTGATGGCCAGAGTCTCACATATGAAGAAAAATGACATTGTTTTGATTTTCATATTTTATATCTTTGTTATGTTCAGAAACTCTTGTGTCAATGCTTCATCCTGTTTCACCTACATAACTTTTCTCACAGGATTGCCATGATTGTTTCTCAGGATAATTGCATGTTTCGCATTTTTTTATATTTTAAAATTAAAATCCACATACTTCCAAATCATACAGCTCGTTCTAGCAATTCTGGTGCTAAAATATAAATCACGTAACTCCAAATCCGTGTTATAAAATGTTGCTTTATAGCAGGTATTTCTATACTTAAGTTCCATGAAAAGCTACATAAAAACCTATAACACTGTTATTTTATGTTACTTGATAGAAATAAAGTAACTACGTTTAAAATGAAAAGATAAATTTTCTGAATTAATGAAATTGTAAATTTTATCTTTTGCATTACTCTCATGTTTTTCATTTTAAAACCTCAGAACACATTTTTCAAATTCTGGATTCAATTTAAAAAGAAAAAACATATTTAGTGTTTAAAATCAAATTTTGTTGCTTAATGTGTTACATATTACAAAACAGTTTTTAAAAGAGGTTTATTTTAACAATAAATAAATACATCTTTTATTAATTACTATATATTTTGAGATATTTCAAATCACTCAGTATATTTGGAACCTAAAAAATACAGTATGAAAATGTATACACATATTTATAGCTTCACTGATACTTTATGCAAATTATAAAACAATAACTTTCTGTTTTTGATAATATATAAAAAATCAAACCAGTATGAAAAAGTTTACATTAACTTAGTAATTTTACTTATTATCATAACTTTAAATCTAAAAAATTGAGTTAAATTTTCAAATAACAGACAGTAATAAATAAACAATATATCTCACAGATAAATAAAAAAATTTAATTGATAAGTACATGCTTACCCAAGTCACAAAATGACATTGAATCTACACTATTCCAAGCAACCAAGTTTTCTCCTGTAAAAGAAAAGAGTATTTTCATTTTATTACAAAACACAATTATACATTAAAGAATTAAACAACTCTAATGTACTGAATATACACAAAAGATGAGAAGTAACTTTCATTATATCACTTTTCCTCGTACTATATTCTCCAACCAATTAGTACACAATAATAACTAAACCTCTTAAAGTAAGAAGCAAAACTACAGAACCACATTTTTTTTTCAATCAGATTTTCTACTGCCTTATTCCTTTACTTTAATCTTTCAAACAAAACAACATATTCACACTGACACTAAAGTACAAGACTTATCAAGGTAACATACAGAAATACTCTCAGGAAAGCTAACACACACAAAGAAAGAAATCCCAAATACTCTTGAATAAAAAATTATATTATTGGCATTTACATGGTATAGTTTCAGTCTGGAATTCTTATATGTGGTTGTCATGAGTTTGAGCTTAAACATACAGTTGATGGAAGTACCGCACATACCCTTTAGCTTTGCCTGTTAGTACACACATTTATGAAAATGACACAACTAGTATAGGTGATGTTGCAAGATGATCCTGAAACATGTCCATTTTACTTCATATTAAGAATAGAGTGGTATCAATGTAAGTCACATCAAATTTCATTATGCACTCCATCTAATACAATAACACACTCCAGATGAGGTAGGACGTGACAAACAGCAGCATAAAGCATATCTGAAAGATTTAATGTTGGGTATTTGTAACAATCTCACTAATTGACAGTTATATGAATTGGCTCTGGCATCAGACTTTTAACTGCAATATCTTATGTAATCATGGGGTAAGCAAATATGGTTTCAAGTTCACTTTCAGTACCACCTTTGGTCTTTTTGTTCTCGTAAGCATGTTTCAAATATAGTTTTATGCAACTGTAAGTTGTATGGCTCTTCACCACCTACATGTTTATACCCAAATTATTTTGTGTCAACCCTGTATTTTTCTAACATCTTCATAAACTTTGTTGAAAAAAGAGTTAGAATGCTATCATAAGGGTGTAAAGCTAATATTTCTGTCCAGTTACTTGAAAAAGCTGCTCAAAGAAGTGCTAGTCCGACTGGCAAAAAGAAAAAACAAAACATAATGGGTAACACTAGACAGCTGATATGTATTTCTAGAAAACATAGCATTTTCACTTTTTTTTAATATGCTATCAAATTTCAGATATATGCTTGTGATAATAATTATATTTCCTTTTTTCCTTAATATAAAAAAAAAAGAATGTTACTAGAAAAGGCTTAGAGATCAATTGTCAGAATGTGGTTTTTACCTATAAATGTTGGTTTACAGCCAGCTTTCAGTTTTCTTAATAATTTTGACTGTTGTTTTACAACTGGTTTGAACATTCTTAATAATGTCTGGATTATTAACTAGCACAAAAAATACTAGTGTTTCTTAATGGTCACTGCTAAACATTTAAACCCACTGGCATTTTTACAACTATCTATCACTAATTCTGTGCCCTGATACTATATCTATTCATTTAGATATTTAGGTTAATTGTTACTCTAAATAAGCATCTCATATTACTTACTGGAGAAGTTAGGACCAAAGATGAAACTTTTAAACAAGGATATTCTGTTCAGGCAGAATATTACTTTGCAAAAGCACATTATGAAACAGGCTTAAAAGTGGAATATTTTACTAATAGTTAAAACTTAATACCACTACTGGATAACTGAGTTTAATTTTTGAGCTCATGCGAACATACAGCCATTATTCTAAGGCATTAGTGATTCCACTGCTTACAAAAATAATATGTAATACTTTATAATATATACCTATATATTTATTTTCCTGTAAAATATAATATTCTCAACTTGAGATTGAACAGTTTACCTTAATACTTTGTTTATATTTACATTACTCTTGACTTTTACACTTAGCCCTAGAGTTTTGTTTGTTTGTTGAATTTTGTGTAAACTACTCAAGTACTATCTGCAGTAGCCATCCCTAATTTTCAAATGATAGCTTATAGGACAGACAGTTAGTTAATACCTCACACTGTCAATCCTTGGGTTACTTTTAACCAAGGAATAGCGGGATTGACTCTCACATTATAACACTACCACGACTGAAAAAACAAGACTGTTCAGTGATAAGTTTTGATCCTTCAAACCTCAGATGAATGTTTATGGTATTAAATATGAATTTACTACCACAGGCTTATATGTTTGCCACCAACAATTTCTATGGTACCTAAAGATGTTACTGTGTAACATAAGGTTTAATTATTACATTTTTACATACAACTTTTCAAAGTATGCCAACCAACATTCCATTAACAAGATACTTACCTCCACCTTCTAACAGAGACATAGTGATTGACACTTTACAAAACATTAGAACATGCAAAAACTGCAAAAGATTAACCCTAACCAGACAAAAAAAAATTACTTCATTCAATAACTAAATCAGAATTAACCAATAATTATTTCTTAGGAGAGAAGGAAGAATAAAGAAAAGATATTACAATTGGCTGCAGCCAAAGAGAAATATACACTTTTAATAAAGATTATTGAATAGTTGGATTATTTGGCTAATTAAATTTGGCTTTTCATATGAAAATGTATTAAAATCACAGAATTTTCTCTATCTGATAGCTTTCTGCCAAAGAAAAAATAGCTGAACTAATCAAAAATGGTAATTTGTTAAAAGTTCAATATATTTACGGCAAAGAGTAAAACTAAGACAGTAAGTGATTTGCTTGTATTATTCAAATAAAAAATCTGTATTAATTACCTGTTCTAGGATCCAAAATGGCCACATAAGGATACTGATTAACTTTGTAAAACTGAGCGTACCAACGTCCTTCTTCACTATCCAGATACACCTATGAACAGAAATTTCACACAAGTTCAGAATCATAAAAAATTAAGTGACGATGGATGCTTTGGCTATGATAATACTTACTGAGAACAAAGCTGGTTATCCTTTAAAAGTTATACTACCATCTACCATCCAACAGCTGATTTCTGTACTTGTATATAACTGGGCATTTGACAGTGTTCATGTCTAAAATTTATTGAGTTTAGCTAAATTGCTGAAATAATAATCTGACAGATATGACACATTATGTTCATAATCTGGAAAACCAACAAACACACTGAAAGTCTACTACATGTACCTTCTCTAGCTCAAGCTCACGTATAAGTTTAATAACTCTAGTCAAAGCCACATCATGTTTTTTCCACTGCAATGACACACAAAATATAAAACTAGCCATTCCTAATATACTGAACCCTGCATTACGGGGTCTTGGCCTTGCCTCAATCGTAAGAACAGGGAAAGCTGTAACCGGTATTATGGGCAAAATCATAACTCATTCAACCATAAATGCAGGGCAAGAGACATCCTGTATCTGGAATTACAAGGAGGACAAGCAGCATTTGCCCAACCATAGGAACAGAGCATGGACATCCCATTGCCGGTATTACGAGGCAGGTGAAATCTTTCATACCCAAAAACTTACCACAAATCTCCTGGGAGAACTTGAAGCTAGAGGAAAAAAAAAGAGGGGAAGAATAAGATGCCCCCAATTGAAAGATGTGTGTGTGGCGGCCAACATTGGGGGAAGATGCCTGAAAAAGGAGAGACCAAATTGGCAACTCAGTGAGTGTGTTCTTCCTTAGAAACCATGTCACATTGAAAAGAAGAAGAAAATGCCAGCCAAATGTAAGACTCTAACTCCCTGTGAACCAAAGCATGTACTTCCTCAGCAGATAAAGTCAACCCAGTGTCCTGAGAAGTCATGCCATATGCATTGTTGCCTGTCATGGTAATATTATTGTCCACCACAGGAAACCTTGAATTCATACTAAAGCATGTAGAATTCAGAAATGAAAAAATTTTGAATGCAAATACATGGACAAAGTAAATCAAACCCAAAAATTAGAAATTGTTGAATAAACTTCATTGGAAATGGCAACAAAGCATGATCATAATTTGGAAATGAGAAAATTTTGAATGCAAATACATCAAAAATTAAATCAAACCCAAAAATTAGAAATTGTTGAATAAACTTCATTGGAAATGGCAACAAAGCATAATCAAAAACTGTAGTCACACTGTTGGAAAAATTAAACACACATCTAAACTGTGTCATGCTAATCGAGAAAATGAGGATTGAGTGGGAATAGCAGAAGGAGCTAGCTGTGCCATTATAGGTGGTGCAATACTGTTGGTGGAGAGTAGTCACATGATATGTACATGTTCAGAAAATCGTTAAACTGGTGGAGTATAAAGACTGGTGCATTGATTACAAAAAATTATTTTGGCAATGCTTAGGGAGCAGACAACAATCAATATATAAGAATATTTATTAACCAAAATTTTATGTGAACAGCTTTCTCAAAAACAACAAGCTATAACTTCAAACATTCATATTATAAAATGCTAGATATTATGAGCCATTTATAAATACTATTTGCTTTTACAGTGCAATTCACAATGTCTAAGTAGTCTCCTACAATGTCAATTTCATTGGTGAACAAACTAGATCAATAAAGAAAATATGCAAATTTAATACTTTGGTACAAACACTTTAAATTGATATTTCCTTGAATATACAATCAATGAACTGATACTAAACTGTTTGTAAAAGAAAAATATTCCTAAACTTAAAATAATTTCAATCACTAAATAAATGTCTGTTCTGAATTAAGTTTTGTTTTAGCTGAGCCACAAAAAGTTTTAGCATTGGTAATGTTAAGAGTGTAAAAATAATTTTAAATTTAATATAAAAGTTTACATTGAAACTCAAATACCCACCAAGTAAACTATTACAAAGCAAGAAAAAACATACTTTGACAACTAGCAGCCAATAACTTGCATCAATATTGTAATGTAATAACCAAATAAACTCCCTGGTAGATAAATTTGGTTTAATCTTTAATAACACTCCATAACAACATAGAGTTTAGTTTTCTTTTCTCACCTGCCAAAATACAAAGTGTTTAGATACAATACTTTTCACAGCTGGGCTACTCCACACGTCTCTGTTAAGTATCTGACACTGAAATTCCTGTACATCTTGAACGTTGACCATAAGCCATCTATTACTGCTTTTGCCTACCTCACGCGCCTGAAAAAATTCATTGTTCATAATTTGGCATAATGCTTCAAATCTACACTACATTTTAACAGCTTATTGGGCCATTTACAGTTAAAGTTTTTGTTTTTTTTAAGATAACTTATTCTTTCCTAAAAAGTCAATTTGTAGGATTTATGATACTGCAATATTTGTATGATACTAATTCTATAACTCTATTAAAAATATAATAATTATTCTCATTATTGGTAATTGTATGATTTAAATTAAACGTTTTTTTAATCCAAAATAAAACCATGGAATGTTATCTTCTAATTCAATCATTCAGCATGTCCAATGGACTTAGCAGAATATCTAGTAAATCTTCTCCACTCCATCTTCTAATTCACATTAATACAATTGTGCAAACATATATATTTTCTAATGAGTTGAACTTTAAATATGAAGTTGCAACACCCTCTACAGGAAATTAGATCAATCACAGAGCAACAGGTGATAGAAAAAAAATACAGACTAGCTGGGCTGCCATAAATATCCAACAAATTTTAAACTTAAAATAAGACCCAAAACTTGAGCACTTTCGAATAGTTGACTATTGTTCTTCAGGAATAAGAAGAAGAATAGTCAACTAT